CATTTGGGGTTTTTTGATATCTGATTATGAAGAGAAGAGGGCAAAAGGCAGAAGATGCGTGGAAGGGAGTGAGTCAGACATGAGATGGCGCCCTTGCTCTCCAAGAAGCAAGAGGCAGGCAGGCCTGGGGAATGGGCTTCGGCTGGGCCTGCATGCCACAGCAGCGGTGGGCGGGCAGATGGCAGCGGGCTGGTGGCAGCGGGCTGGTGGCAGTGGGCTGGGCCGTGGACGGGCTGGTGGCAGCTGGCTGGGGGCAGCGGGTTGGTGGCAGCGGGCTGGTGGCAGAGGGCTGGGCCGCTGGGGGCTCTGAGTCGCTGGGGGCAGCTGGCTGGGGGCAGCGGGCTGGTGGCAGTGGGTTGGGCCGTGGGCGGGCTGGTGGCAGCTGGCTGGGCCGCTGGGGGCTCTGAGTCGCTGGGGGCAGCACAGTCCAAGGATCGATACTACTCTTGCCTGTCTTCCCTTCACTTTCTCACAAGAAACTATCTGAAGCTATGAATTAAAATGATGCAATGTGGGCCTGGCATGATGGCTTAATAGCTAAATCCCCACTTGGAAGCACCAGAATCTCATATGGGTACCACATCGTGTCCCAGCAGCCCCGCTTCCCATCCAGCTCCCTGCCTGTGGCCTGGGAAAGCAGTTGAGGGCGGCCCAAAGCCTGGACATCCTGCACCCGTGTGGGAGACCCAGAAGCAGCTCTTGGCTCTTGGCTTTGCATATGCTCAGTTCTGGCCATTGTGAACACGGCGAGTGGACCAATGGGTAGATATCTTTTTCTCTATCTCCTTCTCTCCACAAATCTGATCTGCCTTTCCAAGAAAAAATAAATGAATATTTTTTTAAAAGTACAATTTGACAACCTTGAGGAACAAACCCTTTGTTGGGCCCACAGCACTGTCGGGGCTTAGGTCTGGCAAGATCGCCTATACGCTTGTGTCACAAGTTCGTGGCTTTCCAGTGGCAACTTGAGCAAATGGTTTGTAAATCTTAGCTGGCCACTCCTTAAAATGTTCAGTGATATTAAAGCAGTCATGACAACTCCACAGTGATTTAATTCCTCCTTTTTTAAAACATTTATTTTTTACTTGAAAGTCAGGTTTACAGAAAGAAGGAGAGACAGAGATAATGTTCTATCTGTTGGTTCACTCCTCAAGTGGCCGCAACTGCCAGAGCCAAACCAACCCAAAGCCAGGAACCAGGCGCTTCCTTCTGGTCTATGCAGGTGCAGGGTCCCACGGCTTTGAGTCATCCTCAACTGCTTTCCCCGGCCACAAGCAGGGAGCTGGATGAAAGTGGAGCAGCCAAGACACGAACCAGCACCCATATGAGAACCTGGTTCATGTAAGTGAAGATTTAGCCACTGGGCTGCTACACTAAGCCCTCCCCCATCTTCTGTAAGACCCAGAGCCTGCTGCATGTAGAAGCCCAGAGCCCAGAGCCCAGAGCCCAGAGTGAAGGGATGCTTTAATTAGCTGTTTTTCCTGCTCCCTGCCCTTGGCCGTGAAAATTCCAGCTCTACCAACCATACCCCATTTTCCTGAGGAGCTGTTGCTTATACACAAGCCTGTTAAGTATTTCTATCTCTGAGGGGTGTCTCCTAAACTAACTGGGGAAAGAGAAAGGAGTGAAGATAAGCTTTGCAGATAACTACAAAAGCGCCATAAACAAAAGCAGGGCACCGGGCTGAGGCAAAACCGCTACAGCTGCCGCTGGACACAGGAGCCCCAGCTTGCACTGTTGTCATCCCAGATACTCAACACTGGATCCAAGGGTTGGCAGCCCAGGCACTGATGTGCCTGCCAACCTGATGTTGCTGCCACTGACACCACAAAGAAATCTCCACTGTCTTTGCCTCTTTGTGTCGCTAGTTTCAAGTTCAAAATCCTACATGAGTGCATCTGATGGGCAGAGCCTGAAGCGAGGGCCTACATCCCAGCTGGCACCAGAGCCAGGACACCAGGTGTCTGTTCATTCCGACTGCTCTTTGGGGAGGCAAAGGATCTCCCAAACAGAGAGGAGACTCAAAACCTAGATTTTGGTCATTACAAGCAGGGCAGGCATTGGGCCTAATGGTTCAGACACTGGTTGGGACACCCCACTTCGGGGTGCCTGGGTTTGAGTCCCTGCTCCCCTCTTGATCCCAGCTTGCTGCTCACGTGCACCCTAGGAAGCAGTGTGGAATGGCTCGAGCAGTCAGAGCCTTTCTACCCAGGTAGACGGCGTGGATTTGTTCCTGGCTCTTGGCTTCCTCCTAGCCTAGTAGCCCTGACTAGTTCAGGCACTTGGGGAATGAACCTGCAGGTGGGAGCCCTCTTTCTTTGTCTCTCAAGTAAAGAATAGTTACCAGTGTCCACCGCACATAGATTGCTCTGAGTAAATACCAATGATGTAATAGATAATACAGGTCAATTGTTATCATTACCAAGTTTACTACATATAGCTCGATGCCTGCCGCATAGCAGGCACTAAATAACTAGCAATTGCCGTTCATCCTGGTGTAGCAGTTTTGTAATAACTGTCATAATTATCATCACCATTATTACAAAATGTCAAGCAGCAGGGAGCAATGAACAAGAGTTCCTTGAAGGGCAGCCATTGGTCTGGCAGCTAGGGCACGCAGAGGGCATGGAGGGCCTCCCGGATCAGAGTCTCGAGGTTTGAGTTCGGGCTCTTGTGCTCACCCCAGCTTGCTGTTTGTATGCACCCCGAGAGGCAGCAGGTGATGGCCAAGGAGTTAGGCTCCCGCCGATCCCCTGGGCGCCCTGGGCTGTTCCCAGCTCCTGGTTCCAACCTGGCCTGGCTCCAGCTGTTTGAGCCGTTAGGGAGTAGGCCAGTCAATGAACACCTCTCCCTCTTCCTCTCAGTTGTCCTCTCCTCTTCTGCAAATAACTGATTTTTTTAAAATAATTGAATAACCAATGTCTGTGATTACTTAAATATTAGTGAAAAAGATGACTAGGCGATCTCTGCAGCTGCCAGGGCACTCTCTAAGACCCTGGAGAAACTAGACCCCACCCAGGGATAGGAAGAGACGTGGAACTAAGTACCCTTGATCGTGATGGATAAGACTAAACATAAAAATCAGAACTACAGGGAAACGAAAGAATGTGTCTCTTGCAAACTTGAGTGATAGGTGGATATTATCCCACTATGCCTATTTTTTTTTCTGTTGTTTAAGATTTATTTATTTGGGCCCGGCAGCGTGGCCTAGCAGCTAAAATCCTCGCCTTGAACACACCAGGATCCCATATGGGTGCTGGTTCTAATCCTGGCAGCTCCACTTCCCATCCAGCTCCCTGCTTGTGGGCTGGGAAGGCAGTCGAGCACAGCCCAAAGCCTTGGGATCCTGCACCCATGTGGGAGACATGGAAGAAGTTCCTGGTTCTCGGCCTCAGATCGGCGCAGCACTGGCCATTGCGGCTCACTTGGGGAGTGAATCATCTGATGGAAGATCTTCCTCTCTGTCTCTCCTCTCTGTATATCCGCCATTCCAATAAAAATAAATCTTTAAAAACAAACAAACAAATGCATTAGTAGAGCTGACAGGAAGTGGAAAAGCTGGGCTTCTAATCAGCTGCCAAATGAGATACCTGCATCACACAGCAGCTTCATCTGATGTGCCACAACCCCAGCCTCCAAAACCTGTCTGGCTGTTTCAGATTCTCAGCACAGGAACTCTAGGGGACACTCAGTCTGCAGAAGTGCACATCCTAGGAGACCATGCCATAAGCCCTGCAACCTCCGGGACCTGATCCCAGAGCCGTCCTGTTGCTTCCACGGCAGATGTCACTGTCGGTGATGACCCCGCAAGCTCTCTTGGAAACTGTTCCCCATGTGAGATGTACCATGTATTCACCACCAAGCTGGTTATTCATTTTCTTCTTAAGCTTTATTTGATAGACTGACAGAGATCTTTCATCACCGGTTTGCTCCCAAATGGCGACATAGTCAGGGCTCGCCAGGCGAAGGTCTGGAACTCCACCCAGGTCTCCCGCATAGGTGGCAGGGACCCGGGCACTTGGGCCACCCTCTGCTGCTTTCCCAGGTGCTTGAGGATGGAAACTGGATTAGAAGCAGAGTGCTGTTGGCAAGTGACAGCTTATTCAACTGCACCACAGCACCCACTCCCCTCATTAGGTCATTCTCTATGACATAAACTCCTGCCAAACTCATCCCTGGGCCTTTCCCCCAGCAACAACAAAAATAATGCAAACCCATAAAAACAGGGGAAAAACAATTTTTAAAAATTGCTTTTGGGTCTGGAATGGGTCTATTAACCATGTAAACATTTTAAACACCATACACAAAAAAGAAGGCACATGATATTGTTACGTGTCAAGGGCCAATTTTCCCAATTAAAGAAACTATTTTAAAACCACACAGAAAAAAATTAAGACCAATCTTCAATTAAATGTATCCAAACCCTACTAATAGTCTTCTTCGAAACCAGGGGTTAGCTAACAGTCTACGAAGCACTCGGATCAGCCGTTCCCTCCATGGCAAAGCCAGATCCGTGCCCAACCTCTGAACAGTAATTCTATGTAAAACATCTTCAGGTCTTTACAATTACTATGTAAATGGCACAGAAATTCCAATGCGTGGCCTCCCTTGCTCCTCAGATTCTTCACTGATGTTTCACTCCCTCCAGATTCTCCAAGATCGGAGGAGATGCGGCTGCACGTAAAGCAGCGTTTCTTGGCAGCTGTCACTTTCCAAACCAATGACTTCAGCACACGTGTGTTCTTAGAAAACGAGATGAGAGTAGACAATCTCCTGGACGAACATTTTTAAATGAAAGGATACTCCAGTCATAGCACTTAACAGATGAACTCTTGCCACTTGTCTCCAAAGACCAGTGACGCCATTATCATTGTTCAAATGCCATCTTTGTGTGTTGAGTCTTCCTTGGGAAAAGGTGAATGAAAAACCTCCAGAGCTATGAACCCAACTCCCAACACTTCAACACATTTCTTAAAACAAAAAACAAAAAACAGACTATGCCCATGCAACAATGTCTTTTATTATGTATTTTTTCAAAGTATATTTTCAATTTCTATACATAGGCAACAGTCTGCTGTTCAACATATTGGAACTGCAAACTTGATCCCTGCCTAGGCGAAGGGACAGTTACCCCTAACGTGGCTTAGCCAGGAGGCCAGTTCATCTGTCGCCCCCCAAGGACGTGCAGGTGGACATGATAGACAGACTGTCCACCGTCCGCTCCCTCGTTCACCACCATGCGGTAACCCTTCTTCAGGCCCAGGTCAGCGGCACATTTCTTGCCAACAATCATTAAATGTCCAAGAAGCTGGAAAAGGGAAAAAAAAGTGTGTTAAGGAAGTGCAAAGAATTTTAGGCATCAAATAACACTTGATCTTCGCCAAAAGGCCAAGAAGCGATAGGCGTCAAATAACAAACTGTTCAATTGAAATTTCACATGAAGAAACTGCCAAGGTTGAGCAATAATACTTAGAAAACTTAATACTTAGAAAACTCTTAGTCTGTATTTTAAAATTGATTATGTATTTATTCTTTACTAATTTCAATAAGCAAACAAGACAATATTGTTGAGTTTGAAAACTTTTTTTTTTAAGATTCATTTATTTTTATTGGAAAGTCAGATATACAAAGAGGAGAGACAGAGAGGAAGATCCCATGTCCAATAATTCACTCCCCAAGCAGCCACAACAGCTGAAACTGAGTCAATCAGAAGCTAGGAGCCAAGAGCCTCCTCCAGGTCTCCCACAAGGGTGCAGGGCCATCCTCGATTGCCTTCTCAGGCCACAAGCAGGTAGCTGGATGGGGAGCAGGGCCACCAGGATTAGAACTAGTGCCTATATGGGATCCCGGTGAGTTCAAGGCAAGGACTTCAGCCACTAGGCTACTGTGCTGGGCCCCAGTTTGAAGACTTAAATACCCTCTGATCGTCTCTGACATTCAGAGCACTAGTACTTTAAAGCAAATAAGCTTATTCAAGCTTTCCCTTACCCATTATACTGGAGTATGGAAGTACTTTGAGTCTTAAAAAACCAGGAAGCTTTGCTTCTTTTTTCTATTTAATCTTAAAGGACATTTTAATAAAATATATTTCATTTGAATAAATTAATTCCTAATGGAAATCAGGATTACCAGAAAGCAGAGTTTAAAGCAATAAATGTGCAGTGGCTTTTGTCTTGATAGCTGAGCCTTCGGCAGACTGCCCAAACCAACGTGGGAGTGTTTGCATCGTACTCCCATCTTGGACTCCTGATAATAAATTGGCACTGATGCAGACCCTGCCACCCATACACGAGACCTGGATCCCAGCTCTGGCTCCCTGCCAGGCTGCTGTGGGCACCTGGCGAGTGAGCCAGTACATGGGTGTTCTCTGCGTTATAGCCTAGTGACTCAAGTCTTTGCCTTGCACTGCCGGAGACGACAGAACCTATAATATCCTTCAATGTGATGTCACTGTCTTACTGAGTTTACTGAAGCTGTGTTAGCAGAGTTTCAGTTCTAATTAATTACAAATCTAGTGTGATACTATCTAATCCTGTCCAGCGGGGGAAGATATTAAAGCACACCTGACCATACATGCACACTTTCAGGTCTGCGTGAGCAAGTTATAACTTTACGTGGCAGGCTTCCCTGTTCCTTCCACAGTTCTGTAATCAGTTCTCAGCTAGCAGTGCCTCCAACAGTAACACCCTCTCCAGTACACTCCGCAGGCTTCTGGGCACAGGGCCTCTATCTAAACTGTGCTTTTCTAATGCAGAAAAATAGCCATGGACAAAAGTTCAACAAACAGCTGTGTTCCAGTAAAAATTTAGCTACAAAGACAGGCAGCTGATCAGATGTGGCACAGGCCGCAGCTAGCCGGTGCCCGCTTCCCCTGTGGGTGCAGCACAGCAAGCAGCAGTCGCACACACTCATGTACATCTCCCGTGGAAGACTGGCTTTCCTGCCCGTGGGGCTTCGTGAACCTATCAGTGACCTTCAGAATTTGACTCCCACGTGCTTCACAACACTAGAATTCCGGCACTTTCATATTTTCTACTGATTTACTTTTGCTGATTGAATCATACATACACCAGTTCCTGGTGTGCAAACATGTTAATAAAATACTGTATTTCCTGCTTTGCCAAAATCCCACTTACACATCACACACTGCAGTCTGTCTTTCCTTGGTAACTATGCCCTCAGGGAAGACTGAGTGTGGCATCACTTTAAGGACGCAGTTTTATCTCCAGTTTAAAGAGCCAAGGACCAAATCCCTGGGAGAAAAGCACTCACGCTCTCATCGTCGTCCTCGGCTGCAGAAATCTGGGAGATGTGTTTCTTGGGGATCACCAGGAAGTGGGTTGGTGCTTGAGGGGAAATATCATGGAAAGCTAGACACTAGAAAAAGAAAAACAAAGATCAAAGTCTTAGCAGATCCACACTTATTTCAGCAAGTATGTACTGGGCACCAAGTCCATGCCAATGCCAAGAAATGCCACGTTCCCATTTCTCACGGATCGCTGAGTTTCTTGGGCTCACTGACTGTCAACAAACAAAGGTGTGATAACCAAAGGTCACACGTATTGGGAAAGAAAAGCGAAGGGTGAAATAAATGATTACCACTGGAAAAACCTGATTTAGAGTGCAGTGGGGAAGGACAATCTCCCTTAGGCAGTGGGACTTAAACTCGGAGCCCCAGGGAGGGCAGACCCTACTCAAGAAGCAGCCCATTCTCTTTTGTGGAAGTGGGCCTGCGAGCAGCATTTACATCTCGGCCACAGCGCAAGGGTCTGCGGGTCCACGCGTTTACACCCGTTTCCGGCCTCCGTGTTCGTGTGTCTCCCTACAAAATGCTGCATCATGCACAAGGCGGCAGGCTGTGCTTCACACGTCAGTATTCCCACGACGTGCTCTTTCAAAAGCAACAGCATTTTTTGTTTGTTTTGGAACAGGGCTTCTGAAACACGCCCCGTCCCCCCACCCGAACAAGTCACAAATGAAGGTATTTACCCAAATTGCACCTTCAGAGAAGCAAATTCAATCTTAGCTAACACTGTGAATCTAAGTAAATATTCCGAGTAGCGCCAAATCAATGTTTTCTTTATTTCTGAAATATGTTTACCAAAACTTTTCCGACCAAACCCACTAAATACTGGCAATTTGCACCTCAGTAGGGAGTCCACCTCTCTCGGAATCCAGACAACAAAAACCCCTCCATTTTTAGTTCCAAGAGGTCCAACAGAAAAGGAATTTTGCGTCCGTGCGAAAATCTCTGGTAGGAGATGTGAAACGGGTGCGGGGCTGGGGCGTGGCCTGCCGGCCCACGCGCGCACTGGCCCCGCCGAGGAAGCCCGTGGGCCGCCAGCCACCGCGCCCCGCGGAGCTGCGCCCCGGAACGGCCCAGGGCGGGCGGGCAGGCCGTGCGCGGGAGATCGCGGAGATTGGGCCCGAGTCAGCGCGCGATCGGGTTTCTCCCTGTCGGCAGAGCGCCGGCCAGATTGCCAGATTCCCGACTCCGGCCAGGTCCCCCGGCAGCCCGGAGGCGCCCGGCGCGCACGCCGAGGTGAGTGGCCGCGGCCCCCCACGCGCGCCCGGGCCCCGCCAGGCGGCACTGCCGACGCCCGCGGAGGCCTGGCCCGCGCCCGCCGCTGATAACGCGTAACCGGAGCGCCGGCACGCGCCGGCAGGCCGCCTCCGAGTGCCCGCTGGCGGGGGGCCCGGCCAGGGCGGCCCGGTGCCCCTCGGGCCCTCCCCGAGCCTCCCGCGGGGAACCGGGGTGTCCTGGGGCCGCGCCGCCCCCCGCGCCTCAGCCCACCGCCAAGCTCCGTTCCCCCGCTCCAACCCACCCCCTACCCGGTCATCTTCAAAAATGATTTTGGCTGGAATTTCCTTGCGGATGATCTTCCCGAAGATGGTGTCGCCGCCAGGCCGGGCGACCTGAGCCTTGGCGATCTCATCTGCCATCCTGGCCTCCCTGCCCGCGCGCCGGCCACGGGAGCAGCGGGACCGGGGGGAGGAAGGCGCGCAGCCGGCAGAGGGCGGGCGCGCGGACAAGCCTGCGCAGGGCCCGCGCCCGGGCTGTGCGCCTGCGCACCGCGGCCGCGCGGGGAGGCGCCCCCGAGGGCGCAGGTTCCTGGCAGGCCGACCGAGGGCCCCCACACCTTTTTGTTTCCTTCGCGTGTCCCGGGAGCTGGAGTCACTGATGCCTGTGAACGAGGGTGGGAACAGCTGTTTGCGGACTGAGAGCCCGGCTTCACTCCGCAGCTGCTGGGGTCTTCGCTAGCATCAGCAGCGGATTTCTTTTGTCTCTCTAGCAGTAATTCTTAACCTTGAAGTGATATTCAAATGACTTGGGGGAGCTTTTCAAAACTCCTAGTTACCTCAGAATCTCTGGGGGTGCGACTGTTCCGGCATCAGTAGTTTGCAAACCTGCTTGAACTGTTCTACAAAGTAATTTTCCGAACAGTTATCATAAGGTGGGGGGTCCCCATTAGGGGAACAAAACCTTCCACAGTCCTACATTTTAAGAAGAGTTTGCTCCGAACTGTTTACTGTTCTCTTCCTTTTTAAGCCCCCCACCCCTCACGGGTTAGTTCACCCCTCATCATACTGGGAACAGCCATGGATAGGCCAGGCAGAAGCCAGGAGCCACCAACTCCCCCCGGGTCTTGGGCCATCCATCAGCAGCTGCTTTCCCCGTGGCACTAACAGGGAACTGGATCTGAAGAGGAGCAGGCAGGACTCAAACTGGAACATCACGGGCAGTGGACCCAGTGCACCGCCATGCCAGCTCATCACTGGTCAGTTCTGAGCCCGTTTCCCACCTGTCCACTCACTAGAGACGAAGGATGCAGTTACTGCTGGCCCTGGAACCCTGGTTTGAGTGCCGCTGATGGAAGGGGGAATGCCTTTGTTGGCAGGGAAAATAAAGCACTGAGGGATTTAGGAGTTTGGAGACTTTAAGTCTGCCACCTGCTTTCCGACAGTCCGGAGAGGGATAGATTGCATATGCAGACAAGTAGAGAGTGGGTGAAATGGGTAACTCAATTGTAATAAAATGTTAGCGTTTGGGGAATTTGACTGAAAGTGATGTGCTCGTACTGTGTGTTATCCTTTTGCTGCTTTTGCGTTTTCCACTTCTGTTTTAGTTTTATGGTACATGTCCGTAGGCTGTGGGATTTCCCTTACCCCCTCATTGTTGCTTTTCTGTATGTCTAAAATGGACAAGATAAAAGATCAAGCCATACAGTGAGCCTGCATTTCACATGGAAGCCGTGGGCATGGCGCTCGCTGAAGTCAGCTTTCTGCTCAGCGGAGCGCAGGAGGCAGCGGGGCTGGCTCGAGCAGTTGGATTTCTGCAACCACTGCAGGAGATCTGAATTGTGTCCCCGAATCCTAGCTTTGGTCCACCTCTGCCCTGGCCACTGTGGGCATTTGGACAGTGAACCAGTCAAAGATTGCTGCATCCATGTCTGTTTCTGTGTTTGTCTTGTTTGTATTTCTGCCTCTCAAAAAAAAAAATGTTTAAAGGAAAACCTACTTTCTTTTCTTTTGTTTAGGATTTATTTTATTTTTTATTGCAAAGTGAGAGAAGGAGAGACAAAGATCTTCCACCCTGCTGGTTCACTCCCCAAGTGGCTGCAATGGCCAGAGCCGAGCCCATCTAGAGCCAGGAGCCAGGAGTGTCCTCTGTGTCTCCCACGTGCAGAGCCAGAAGCCAGGAGCTTCTTCCTGATCTCCCACGTGGATTTGGGTCATTCACTGCTTTTCTAGGCCACAAGCAGGGAGCTGGATAGGAAGTAAAGCAGCTGGGACATGAAGTGGTATCCATATAGGATCCTGGTGCATGCAAGGTGAGGACACTAGACTACTGTGCCAGCCCCCCCTCACCCCCCAAATCTGCTTTTTTATAGTGGATTTTTTCATCCACTTGAAAGACAGAGTAATACAGAGAGACATCACCAGTGTGCTGGCCCATGCTGCACCCCGATATTCCACATGAATGTGAGGGTCCAAGCAGTTGGGTTGTCGTCTGCTGCCTCCCTGGAACATGAGCAGGAAACGGGAAAATCACTTTTTTTTTTAAGGTTTATTTATTTTTAATTGGAAAGTCAGATATACAGAGAAGAGGAGAGACAGAGAGGAAGGTTTTCCATCTGATGATTCATTACCCGAATGGCCGCAATAGCCAGAGCTGGGCCCATCTAAAGCCAGGAGCGTCCTCTGTGTCTCCCACGTGCAGAGTCCCAAGGCTTTGGGCTGTCCTCAACTCCCAGGCCACAAGCAGGGAGCTGGATATGAAGTGGGACCACTGGGACATGAACCAGTGCCCATATGGGATCCTGGCACATCCAAGGCAAGGACTTTAGCCACTAGGCTTATTGTGGTGGGCCCCTGGAAATATAGCTTTTAAAATTTTTTTAAATTAGCTTGTTAAAAGATTAAGTAAAGGTGTGATAGTTTCGATAATAAATAATACGGTGAAGTCCCACTCACTCCTTAGGCTGTGTTACCCATGGAGGACTCCCTGCCAGGTGTTTGTCTTGGACTTCCCTCTTCCCCTAATTCCGTGATGGTCTTTGATGGACATTATGAGAAGCATTTCAACATCCCTTCTTGGACTCTGCACCACTTCCTGCTTCCTCTTTCCCACAGCTCACAAAATTTGCACCACTCCAGTTATCTACCAATGAGAAGTGACCTCATGTCTTACCTGAGAGCTTCACTCCTTCCACCCCTCCCAGCGCACCTCTCACCCTTGCCAGCAGGTCCTCAACTACTGTCTCCTACCTAGAAGGCAGGCTGGACTGGCCTCTACAGTCACCTGACCTCACCCTCCATGCAGGGCCCTGATGGACACAGCTTAAGCGGTTGTCATCCCTGAGTCTGTCCTGGAGGCCAGTCGTCTCCCCATGCTGCCATCTGGCAGGAGAGGGGATTCCTCAGCACCAAAGAAATGCCTGTCCCCAGTGCCTCACTCATTAACGAACTCCGCCGAGCTCTTTCCTTCCCCACTCAGGTGGCCGAGATATCTCCCTTACCTCCGATCCTACTAATAGTTTCTCCTCTACCTTCCATTAACTAAACAGACTCAATTCGAGCAGCAACTCCAGTCTTGATATCTGGGGATCCCCACTCATGTCATGGTTTCTTCCAGTACTCACTCCACTAGTGACTATAGGTCTCTTACTATTGCCCCTTGTTTCCTAAGGTTTGTTCAGGAGAAAATCCCCGTAACCTCATGCATCACCTTCAACCAAATGCTGTACCACCCCTACACTCCGGTGCCCCAGAGTTTCTTCCAGGCCTCGACTAGGAACAAAGCCCTTCTTCAGCAGGAAGTAGCTAGATCTGTCACTCTCTTTCCTGTTACCAAGAGGAGGGAATGATGGTTGCTGTGGTTACTGGAGCTTGCGTCGAGCCTGACATGTCACTCTGACTCTGAAGGGACAGCAGAGATTCGGCATGCCCCTGAGGCAGCGGCTCCACTGCGGCACCAGTGACGGACTCCAACCGAAGTCCAACACCAAATAAGGACTGAAGCCACCCCCGCTTCAGCTTCCGGGTCAGGAGGGGTTTAAACCCCTGCATGTTTCTTTTCTTGCCTTTCTGCTCCTTCTCAGCCCCTTCTTCACACCTGTCTGTCTGCTGCAAGGAAGCAAGGCCCGTAAACAGGGTTTCTTTGAAGAAAGGTCATCTATATTGTTTTCTATACTTGGCTGATAGGTTCCTTCATGGGTGGTCGGCGAATCTAACCGATATCCCTAGCTGCCCACTGTCTGTACCTGGCCTCTATTAGGCAATTCACTTTCATTTTAACTCCTACCAAAACAAAGTAAAACTTCCTCCTGGAATCTTCTATGCCACCATTCACCCAGCTGCTCCACTGAAAAGCCTAGGCAAACCTAAAGCTTTCCTCTTTTCAACACATCATCAGGAATCAATCATTTCTTACCACCTTCACACTTCGTACCATAGTCTAAGCCAGCACATAGCTTGCACAGGCTGCTCTGGGATCCTCCTAGTTGGAGAGATTTTCTTCTTCTACTATGGCCAAATTGTAAAATATAAATCGTGGTGCTAGTATTCCAAGCAGGCCGTCACAGAATAAGAACAAAAATACTGCACTCAACGTATGAACCTGACATAATTAGCCCCATGGCTGCTCTCCTATCTCCCTTGCTTCTGTGTCAGCCTTGCCGAGTGCGCTGCCCCACAGTGGGTACGGCAGGTAAGGCCATGGAGCCTGTGAGTGTCTCACCCTCACAGTGAAGCACGTTTAGACAGATCATGAAGTGAGCAGATAGTGAAATTATCCAAGGAGGCCTTGAACAAGCACAGGGGCCTTTGTAGATCAAAGACAAAGACAACAGAGTAGAAACAGCAAATGTGATGATGGGCACGGGGGCTTCCACTTCTGGCTTTGAAAAATGGAAGGATCCACGAATGAGAGGAGGGCATTTTGGAAGTCAGATTTTTAAAAAAAGATTTATTTTTATTTTTATTGGAAAGTCAGATATGCAAAGAGGAGGAGAGACAGAGAGGAAGATCTTTCATCTGATGATTCGCTCCTCAAGTGATGGCAAATCCAAAGCCAGGAGCCAAGAACTTCCTCCAGCTCTCCCACGTGGGTGCAGGATCCCAAGGCATTGGGCCGTCCTTAACTGCTTTCCCAGGTGACAAGCAGGGAGCTGGATGGGAAGTGGAGCTGCTGGGATTAGAACCAGCACCCAGATGAGAAGCTGGCACGTTCAAGACAAGGACTTTAGCTGCTAGGCCACTATGCTGGGGCCCTTCTTCCATGTGTAAGGGTCCTGGTGTTTACATCCAGTTAACCACACAATCCTAGATCATCTCTCCACCTCAGAATCCTTAACTGAATCCCAGCTGCAGAGTGCCATTTGCTACACAACATAAGGATAGCTTCCAGATATCCAAACAAAACGGACGCTCTGTCTACGACAGATTTCCATGTACTCACATGATGCACCTGTTGAAATTTCTTACTCCACTTTAGGCCTTAGGATTGGAGATGCATAGAACCAGGATATAGTATCAAAACAGTCAAAGCAGTAAATACTTTCCTCATTTGTGGAGCTGCGGAGGGACCATACAGATTAGAAAAGACCAGCCCCCAGACTGAGCTGATATTTTGGCCCAAGGGAACTCTGCTTACAAATAGCAGGTGAACAGTTTTGGTTAACTGAACACAGGACCCTAATCAGCCAGAAATTATCACAGTAAATTATTATGTCTTTTCACAAAGACATCCTAAATTAGAAAATGAGGGGAAACAGTTTCAATGTTGCTCTGTCAATCTTATGCATCTCATTATTTTTTTTTAACTTGACTGTTACTTTGCTATTTTGGGGGTGACTTAGAAGTCCTTAAAATAGCAAAACACAGGGGGCCTTGGAAACCCACTGATCTGAATCTTTCAATCTGAATATCTGTGGCAACACAGATACGATAGCGTCGATGTCCTTGAGACTTGCAGAATCCTGAGTTACAACACTTCAGTGCTTCATGATTATCACCATGATGCTACTGATATATTTCCCATTTTCTTTTTTTTTTTCCCCCAGTGAAGACTTTATTTCTTCCCATTTTTCGTGTTTTTTTCCTCCCTATATCTCACTGTATGTATTGTTTCAGCTTCACAGGGCTGTCACAACAAAGTGGCATGAACCAGGGGCTCCTTAAAAGCAGAAAGCTCTTGTCTCAGTGTTCTGGAAATTAGGAGCAGGTGCTTGCAGGATTGCGTACCATCAGAAGCCACTAGAGGAGGAGCTTTGCCTGTCTCTGCCAGCTTCTGAGCGCCCCAGCTGCTCCTCTGCTCAGGACATATCACCCATTTTCAACCTCTTTCCAGTAGAACTAAAAGGACAAGCTGAATAGGCAGGTTTCTTGGACCGGAAATGTCTCTGCCCCTAACTAACATGGCGTAAAGATGCTTTCCGTTCTCTCCACGCCAGTAATTGGGCCCCGCAGCTTCTCGCGATTTTACCGGTGGCCGTTAGCTTAATCAAACATCTCTCTATGGGCCTCCCTAGGAAGGCGGGACTCCGAGCCCAATGCTGCCTGGTGATTGGTTGAGGGGCGCCGTAGGAACGTGGCTGGGGGGGAGTTGGCGAGTCTACGCTAGGCATTGATTGGTTGCCAAGAGGCGGGGCGACTCGGCCGCTTCGGAGGCGTCTGCCGCGGCGAGGAGAGCCATGGGTCAGGCGGCGAAGGTGACAGGGCTCGGGCGGGGGTGCGTGCAGTGCCCACCGGGAGGGTGGGCCGGCGGCCTCACGCAGGTCGTGTGGAGTGCTGGGCGGTGGAGGTTGAGGACCCGTCCCGGAGGAAGCGGCCGCCGCCTCAGACGGGCCGAACGACCACCCGGAGGGGCGGCCGGGGAGGCAGGGAGGCTGCAGTGTGGCCCCAACTTCTGCTTGTTAAGAGGACCCCGAGAGTCGTTCGTGACTCGAGCCGGCCCCCGTTTGATCTAATCCAAGTCTGTCGGAGGAGCCGTTTTGTGCCCCTGTGAACTGTAGCAGGCACCACCGGCCGCCTTGCGCTGCCACCGGAAAGCTGGTTGGGGTGAGCAGAAGGTGCCCCGAGACCAGGACCCGAGGAGACCCAGTCGCCTTAGCATGTCCTGTCAGAAGTAACGTTTCACAAGATCGGCTGGGGATCCCGGGCGGTCTGAGCTGGGGGTCCCTTCGGCTCCTTTGTCTCTCCAGGCCGACCGGTGTGCACTCCTGACCGGGGCACAGGAGCTGCTGGCCTGCCGTCTCTTGAATTCAGTGAGGCGAGTTGGAAGCTGTAGTGGGCGCTGGCCGGGACACGGTAGCAGGGAGCAACGGATGTCCTTGTTCCCCATAGACTTTAATATCTGGCCTGTAACCATTAGAGGCACACAGCCTTATCCGTGTGGGGAGTATGTTGACTGACCCCGTGGTAACTATTCGTAATGACAGCCAAGATGCAGCCCTTATGTCTAGGCTTGGTGGCAAAAGTAAGCCAACCTCCATTGCCTTGGAAATCTAGCAGGTAGTGAGTTACTAAAAAAAGCATAAAGGAATCCTCAGGAAATTTAAGTAAGTTGAAGCCTGGAGTTGACACGCATCAGCTAAAAGAAAGAGTATTCCACAAAGAGGAACTAGGACAAAAGTAGGAGGTTGCCTGGAAGACTTGGATACAAATAACGTTAAGCAGAATTCTTCTAAAAAAGTGCTTGCTGAGGCCAACTGTGTTTAGAAAGCATCTGTGCTAAGAAGAGTAGAGGAGGGTGCAAAAGGAACCAAGAAGCTTTGGGGTAAAAATGAGACAATAGTAAGAAAGCATCTAATTTCCCAACTTTGAGACAGAAACATCTTCCTACTGCTGGTTCATTTCCCCGATGGCCACAACATCCAGAGCTGAGCTGATCCAAAGCCAGGAGAACTTCTGGATCTCCCACATGGGTGCAGGGTCCCTAGACCTTGGACCATCCTTTACTGCTTTCCTAGGCCATGAGCAGGGAGCTGGATGGGAAGTGGAGCAGCGGAGATCTGCCCAGCCCCGCTATCACGGCCATTTGAGGGGTGAACCAGTAGTAGATAGAAAATCTCTCTCTGAATCCTTTTTTCTTTAGCTTTGCCTTTTAAATAAAACTAAAATAAATTAAAAAAAAATGGTTTCTTAAATATAGGCAATGGTATAGTCAGCAAAAGCACAGTTAGTGAAAGCCAAAATAAACAAATGGGACTATGTTAAACTAAGAAGCTTCTGTACAGCAAAGGAAACGGTCAACAAAGTGAAGAAGCCACAGAAAGGGAGGAAATCTTTGCACACTGCACGACCAACAGGTGACTAGTATCCAGGATCTACGGGAAGCTTCAGAGACTCAACAGCAGCAAAACAAGCAATCCTGTGAAGAAGAAATGGGTAAAGGAAATGCACATGCATTTTTCAAAAGAACAAATTCAAATGGCGAACAGACATATTAAAAAACGCTCAGGTTCCCTAGCTCACAGGGAAATACAAATGAAAACCACACTGAGGTTCCACCTAACTCCAGTGAGACTGGCCTACATTCAGAAATCTAGCAACCTCTACTGGTTTGCATGTGGAGAGAAGGGTACCCTACTCCACTGTTGGTGGGAGTGTAGGCTGGCCTAGTCGTGTGGTCGTCAGCATGGAGAGTGCTCAGACAACTGAGTTATCCCATTCCTGGGAATGCATCCAGAGGAAATGAAATCTGCATCTGAGAAAGTGATCTGCACCCTGTATTTATAACAGCACAGTCTGCAATAGCAAAAATCAGAAGAGGAATGGATAAAGAAACTGGGGTACATCTACTCCATGGAATGCCACTCAGTCTTTAAAAAGAATGGAATTTTGCCATTTACAACAAAATGGTCCCACTTGGAGACAGTTATGGTCAATGAAATAAGCCAACCCCAGAAGGACAAATACGTGTTACCTCTGATAGAAGGCAACCTTCATGAAAAATAAAAAAAATAGATTATGGTGAACAAGTACATACAGATATTCTCATAGGTGAACTGTGTAATCGAGGCTAGCACATGAGGAAGTGAAGATACCTTGCAGTATACATTTCTACTGACAGTAAAGCAGTTAAATATACCTCAATAGGATGATGCCAGAGTTCCTGCCTTTCTCTGTACCGACAGTACCATGGTGCTCATAGAGCAGAATGTTGAAATTTTTTTTAAAGATTTATTTTTATTATTTTTTTCATTGGAAAGGCGGATATACAGAGAGAAGAGACAGAGAGGAAGATCTTCCGTCCAATGATTCACTCCCCAAGTGAGCGCAACAGGCCGATACTATGCCGATCTGAAGCCAGGAGCCTCTTCCGGGTCTCCCACGCAGGTGCAGGGTCCCAAAGCTTTGGGCTGTCCTCGACTGCTTTCCCGGGCCACAGGCAGGGAGCTGGAAGGGAAGCGGGGCTGCCGGGATTAGAACCGGCGCCCATATGGGATCCCGGGCGTGCAAGGCGAGGACCTTTAACCACTTGCGCCACCGCGCCGGGCCCACAGAATGTTGAACTTTTAAAAAATTAATTAATTTATATTGGAAAGTCAGATAAACGGGGAGGAGGAGAGACAAAGAGGAAGATCTTCCGTCTGCTGATTCACTTCCCAAGTGGCCACAAGGGCCAGAGCTATGCCAATGTGAAGCTAGGAACCATGAGTCTCTTCTGGATCTCCCACATGGGTGCAGGATTCCAAGGCCTTGGACCATCCTCAGCTGCTTTCCCAGGCTACACACAGGGAGCTGGATGGGAAGCAGAGCTGCCAGGATTAGATCCAGTACACATGTGGGATCCCAATGCCTGCAAGGCAAGGACTTGAGCTGCTAGGCCACCACAGGCCCCAGAGTGTTGTATCTGTAACTGTTGCTAGAGGACTGTATTACTGTACTAATACAGGGGTGGGTGGGAAGAGAAGGAGACAATTCCTTTTCCTACAAAACTATTATGAGAAATAATTAAGAAAAGTAGTTTCTTTTAATTTTTTTTTTTTTTTTTTTTTTAAGAAAGGCAAGACCATTCTGGAGTGGCACAGTCGACTGTTTTGGAAGCCTGGCTTTTGGTAGGGTTTGGAGCTCTTTTAGAAGCGTGTCTCCATCCTGTTGTAGGCACACACTGAATTTGTGTATTTTGACCTAAAAAAACTGGGCTTTCTTAAACTCTGTCTAAAGAAGTCTCTTAGGGTTTTTGTTGTTATTTATTTGAAAGGCAGGTAGAAAGAGCTAGACTGGGAAAGAACTCCCGTCTGGTGACTTACTTCCAAGGCCCACAAACTCCTGCACTGTGTTGGACCAAAGCTGGGAGGTAGGAACTCAACTCGCAGTGTCAAGAGCCGAGTCACTTGAACACCAAAACTTGGTAACTCGCTTGTGCTTGCTAATGCTGTCTCCCAAAGGCTGCATTAGCCGGAAGCTGGATTCAGCAACCTGAGCTGGTATCGAACGTGGCACTTCAATTTGAGACCGTGGCATTTTAGCCACTGGGCTAAATGCTTGTCCCCAGTTGTTAACTTAAATTTTTTTTTAGTAAACTTGAAAAAAAAAATGATTGCTTTTGTGTTCAAACAACCGTTGAGCAGTAGGGAAATTGAGTCAGATCTGGGCTGGTTGGCCCCTCACATGCCTACCAGGTTGAGCCTGAAATAGTCACTTGGTCTCCCACGTGGGTAGCTGGGCCCAGCTGTCCTGCACTCCCCTGCTTTCATTAGAAGGATCCTGGATCAGAGGTTGATTAGTCAGGACTAGAACCAGTCATCTCAAATGCTGGGCCCAACCTGCTTTACCACAGTGCCTTCCCCATTGTAACTTTTTAAGAACTTTATGTAATTTTTAAAATAAAGCACAAAAGTTTTAATTAAAAGACAAGTAACAGGGAAACGTTATTTTGGCAAGCCCTGGTTTTTAGCAGCTAGGTTTTTAGCCTAGAAACAAACAAATGAAAAATCCTGTTTAATCATTGTAATATTTATGTAAACTGAAATATTATTGAATGCTAGTTTTTCTTTTCAGGTTTTGCAGCTCTTTAAAACATTGCACAGGACCAGACAACAAGTTTTTAAGAACGATGCCAGAGCCTTAGAAGGTAAGTCTGTGTTTTTTACCCTTTGGGCCAAGTCTGTTCTTCAGGCAGCTACTGATCTGTGAGACCCTCAGGGACTTCCCCTCACTGTCCTTCCCCTAATGTTGTTATAAAGACTCATTCACATTACACTTCTTAAGGAGTAGTCACTTCATTGTTGTTGCTGGCAAGGCAGATTTCCAGAGAGAAGGAGAGACAGAAAGGTTTTGCATCTGCTAATTCACTCCTCACATGGCTGCAGTGGCTGGAATGGTGCTGTCTAAAGCCAGGAGCCAGCAGCTTCTTCCAGGTCTCTGACATGGGTGCAGGGGCCCAAGCACTTGGGCCATCTTCTGCTGCTTTCCCAGCCACATTAGCAGGGAGCTGCATTGGAAGTGGAGCAGCCAGGACTCAAACTGGCATCCATATGGGATGCCAACACTGCCGATAGTGGCTTTACTTGCTGTGCCACAATACCAGCCCCTTAATTTCTATAATTCACCAAAAAATAATTTCACTAGTAAGATATCTGACATTGTGTGCGTACTTGAGAATTCTTGATTTCTCCTAATAGCTTTGTGTGAGATGGCTACAATGATAATCCTATTTTTTCAGATTAAAAAAAAAACTGGGGCCCGGCGCGGTGGCGCAAGTGGTTAAGGTCCTTGCCTTGCACGCCCGGGATCCCATATGGGCGCCGGTTCTAATCCCGGTAGCCCTGCTTCCCTTCCAGCTCCCTGCCTGTGGCCTGGGAAAGCAGTCGAGGACGGCCCAAAGCTTTGGGACCCTGCACCCGCGTGGGAGACCCGGAAGAGGCTCCTGGCTTCGGATTGGCATAGTATCGACCCGTTGCGCTCACTTGGGGAGTGAATCATCGGACGGAAGATCTTCCTCTCTGTCTCTCCTCCTCTCTGTATATCTGACTTTCCAATAAAAATAAATAAATCTTTTTAAAAAAAAAAAAAAAAACTGACAGACATGAAAAGATTTGTCCCATATCCCATATAGGAAGAGGTAGACCTGGGACTTAGCCTAAGTCATCTGTTGTGAAGCCCAAAGCTTTCACCATCCAACACACCCTGAAGGCTCTGTGGCTGCTCTCCATCTGCGTGGTGTGTCTTTGGAGATTTAAAGTTTTAGGAGGATTAGCTCTTAAGAATAGTTAGCATTTGTTACAGATTTATTAAGCAGTTTGTGTGGATTGTTCCATTAAGAGCTCACAACAGCACAAGAAGGCCAGTCAGACTCAGCCGCACTGCTGTCATGTGGCAGGTGGTGGCAGAGACCCACGTACTTGAGCCCTCACCTGCTGCCTGGCTAGGGTGTGTGTCTGCAGGAAGCTGGGCCGCGGGCAGAGCAGCCGGGACTTGAACCAGCATTCAAAGCAGCAGCTTAAAAGGCTGAGCTCCATTCTCACCTCACGTTCTTATTCTAACGCTTTGTTTTACATGGAGGCAAAAGCGTTTGCTGTAGTAGACAAGTAGCATAATGAATGTCATAGCACATAACATGTAAATTATTGTAACCAGATTTATAAATTAGGAAACTAATAAATATATTTATTTTCTCTCTGCAGCAGCCAGAATAAAAATAAACGAAGAATTCAAAAGTAATAAAAATGAGACTTCTCCTAAGAAAATAGAGGAGGTACAGTAGTTGAGTTTTTCCAAATTATAATAAAACTGTTACAAATTTTCTTGGCAAAGAAGACGCAATAAAAAATGGAGGACTGATACGAAATGAAACCCAGTGCTTGCCAGTTAAAACCATTAAAACTGTAGTTTGGAGAGGCTCACCTCCTCGGGCTCCGACGATGCCTCAAGGAGGGCGAGTGGCCCTGTGAGGAACCTGCAGGTAGCCGTGGCTGAAGCCAGAGCCACCCGGGCAAGCCTGAAACACACAGACCTCTCCCTTTCCTGGGACTGGGGACTCAGGCCCAGCAGAGTGGGTGGGGGTTGTCATAACTTTGAACTACGGAAGGACTTGTCTTTTACCTCATCTCAGTTTATTTTTCTTCCCAGTTCCTATCCAGACAGCGGTAATAAACACCCCATGTATGAACTGTTCGTTCTCTGAGTTCCCTGTTCACATGTTCGTTAGTTGCTGGGTTGAAGGCATTCTGCTGAGAGTCACCTGCCAGCTCCCTAGGAGTTCCAGCATTTGTTGATTAAAAAACATGCTACTGTGTATTCTAATTAATAGACGTTGTCTGAGATCTGTCATGCCTTAACTTTCTGTAAGGATATGAACAGAAAGAATCCTTAGGGGAAAAAAAACCCAGAAAATGCAAAGTTATCTGCAAAGTTACAATTACAAGAACTGGTATAAAAAGGAAGATACAAATAGAAATTCTTTCATGTTTAATAGAATTTCCACATATGAAAAAATCTGATAAAAATGACTTTATACTTGGTAGATAAGAATATTATTTTGAAATAGAAGTACCTCTAATAATTGAGCTTAACAAAACACAATGATATGTATTTCTATCTGTATCGTCTAAAGACAAAAAAGAAATATTTTTGCTTAACTGTGATGTTCAGATGACAATCAAATCAGCCTGTAACTGGAAGAAAAGTTAAAAGGTGTATATGGAAGTTGATAGTATTTGTTGTACTGCCCTGTTTAATAACAAGATGGTAATTTTAAAATTTGAAATTGTGGGCCTGGCACAATAGCCTAGTGGCTCAATCCTCGCCTTGCACACCTGGGATCTCATATAGGCACCAGTTTGTGTCCCAGCTGCTGCACTTCCCATCCAGCTCCTGCTTGTGGTCTGGGAAAGCAGCAGATTTAAAGTGAGACTTTCTTAAAGTATATATTGATTTATGTAAAAACAGTGATAATTAGCCCGTTACATTTTAACAGCTATCATGTTTATGAGAAACAACTATGTTTTTAAAAAAGAAAACCAGTGAGAAGGGTGACCTTGTCCGTATGTTTTTGCGAGTCTAATGTCTGACTTAATGGAAATCAGTCCAATTCTCATCGGCCTCTTGACCTAATCTACTTTGGTTTGATTTTTATGTAGAAATATATGAAGAAAATTCAACTTTATACCAGTAAGTAATTGGGAAAAGATAGAAGTGTTTAGTAGTCTTTTCAGATAATCATGAATATTCTTTGGTACTTCCACAGCTGATAATTTCTTAAAGGTTAGTTGCAGTGTGGAGCTGTGTTACCTGTTGCACCGCTGGGCGTCTTTGTTGATTGATTTTGTACTCTGGGATTCATACAGACTGTGCCTGCTGCTTGCCTCCAACCCCCCCTAGTCCATTCACCCTCCCCGAGGCTGGCTCCAGCCTTACATGTAGGACTGGGCTCTTTATGTACTTCCCCCAGGTGAGCAGGCCCCTGTCCAGCCTTCCAGCTGCCTTCCTGGGTATCTGGAAATGAAGCTGTGCTTTCCCAGCCCTCTCCATGTCTCCTTCAGGTGATCAGAACGAGCAACTTGGGCTTTTTCCTTTGATTGCTGTCCTTTTAGGTACATCAACCACTAGCAAATCCTTTTCCCTTGACCTTTAAAATGCATCCAGAAGACATTCTCTTTATCCTCCCCTCTTTGTCTCCTAGTGCAAGGCACCATCGTTTTTCTCTAATTGTTAAAAATCCCCTCCTTTCTGTTTTCATCACCCCTTCCAGTCTGTTCTCAATATTTTTGAAGGACGGGTGATCCTGTTTAAAAAGGTACTTTCCATTTCTCTTCTCTCTCTCTCTTTTTAAAGATTTGTTTATTTTTATTGGAAAGTCAGATATACAGAGAGGAGGAGAGACAAAGAGGGGAAGATCTTCTGTCCACTGATTGATTCCCCAAGCAGCCACAGTGGCTGGAGCTGAGCCGATCCAAAGCCAAGAGCCAGGAACTTCTTCCAGGTCTCCCACACGGGTGCAGGGTCCCAAGGCTTTAGGCCGTCCTCTACTGCTTTCCCAGGCCACGAACTGAGAGCTGGATGGGAAGTGGGGCTGCCAGGATTAGAATTAGTGCCCATGTGGGATCCTGGCACACCCAAGGCAAGGATTTTTGTCACTAGACCACCTTGCCTGGCACTCGCTCTCTCTCTCTTTTTAATTTTGAAAGATTTGTTTATTTGAAAGGCAAATGTTACAGAAAGAGGAGAAGTAGAGAGATTCTCCATTCATATACTCCCCAAATATGGTCACAATAGCCAGAGCTGGACTGCTCTGAAGCTGGGAACCAGGAGTTTGCTCTGGGTCCCCCATTTATCTGCAGTGGCCCTAGACTTTGAGACATCCTCCACTGCTTTCCAAGTCCATTAGCAGGGAGTTGGATCGAAGTAGAACTGTTGGGACTCGGGCTGCACCCATATGGGTTGCCGCCACCATGGAGAGAAGGATTAGCTTGCTATATCACTGTGCTGACCTCTGCTCTTCTCTTCTCAACCCAATAATTGAAAGAAAAACCCAGGAACCTCCTGTGGCCTATAGGACTATTTGTGATGTGAGCCCTGCTACCTTTCCTCCTCCGCTTGAATTGTACCACCTATTAGAATGTTGCTACCATTTCAGGGTTGCTGTGGGCTCTGCCTGGGATACTATTCTCATCTTTCCACAATGCTTCATTTAATATATTTTAGAGATATTACTTGTTTAAAGGAGTATCAGAGAAAGAAAAAGGAGAGATCTCCCATTTACTGGTTCATATCTGCTTCCCCAGAGCCCTCCGTGACAGCACAATCCAGGTCAGGGACAAGATCGAGGAGCCAGGAGATTCTTACAGGTGTCCCATGTGGATGCAGGGACCCAGGAACTTGGGCTGTCTTCTACTGGAGAGGAAGTGGAGCAGCTGGGACTTGAACTGGCACCCATGCAGCATGGTAATGCCACAGACAGTAGCTTTACCCACTGCACTATACCAAGGCTGTGAAACACACTTTAAAAATACATGTATTTTTAAAAAATATTTATTTATTTTATTGAAAGGTAGATTTACAGAGAGAAGGAAGTACAGAGAAAGATCTTCTGTCTGTTTGATTCACTCCCCAAGTGGCTGTAACAACCAGAGCTGAGCTGATCAGAAGCCAGGAGGTTCCTCCGGGTCTCCCACATGGGTACAGGGTCCCAAGGCTAGGTGCCATCCTTGACTGCTTTCCCAGACCTCATGCAGGGAGCTAGAAGGGACACAGGATCACCAGAACACAAAGCAGCACCCATATGGGATCCCAGCATGTTCAAGGTGATGACTAGCCACTAGGCCAGCACGCCAGGGCCAAAATACATGTTTTAACAACAAAAAATCATGGATGGTTATAAGTTAAAACTAAATGCATGTCTGACATTTTTATACAACTTAAATAGTTTCAGATGCGTGAATGCAATATTACTTTAAAAGAAATGTTACTGAAGCTGTTGTTTTAGAAGAAGTACATCTATGTAAAACAGTATTCATTCTACATTTTTGGTTTTCTTAACAGCTAATGAAAATAGGTTCCGATGTTGAACTGTTACTGAGAACATCTGTTATACAAGGTATCCACACAGACCACAATACACTGAGTAAGTAACAACAACAACAACAAAAAAGGATGGTTTCTAATTTTATTTTATCTATTTTTTTCTCTTTTTATTATTTTTGTTCATTAACTCCTAGCTATATTGCAAAAACAGTGATGGTGTGACTATAGTATTTATTTGGAGTTTTAAATTTTCTGGTATTGTGTATCAGCTATACAAAACCTTTTTCTACACATTGTATTGTATAATTAGTTATTTTAGGTTTCCTACATGAAAGTATCTTGGGGACAGTGAAAGCAAGAGTTGGCATTGAAAATTTCAGAACACTTTTTGGTTTAAGCAGACCATTGTAACGCAACATACAAACAGAAAAATATGCAATTTATATACATACATACAGCTCAGTGCATTTTTACAAGGTGAAATAACTGGGTCATCAATGTCCCCATCAAGCTGTGTAACTTTCCCAGCGTCCCCAAATCCTCTCAGACCTTTGTTCCTCTCTGTCACCTTCCCTCCACAAAGACAACCACTGTCCTGACTTTGAACACTATAGATTAAGAAGTTGATATAATAAAATCTTTTGCCTTTCGTGTCACTGGGTTCATATAGGATGACTGTTTTGCCTCTTTCCATTTTTATTGTTGGATATAGCAGCACTGTTATGAACATGTATAAACATAGCATAATTTATTCTATTGTTTGAATAGTTTCCAACTTCGGACTATAATGAATAATTGTATGAACATTTGTATCTATACCTTTTGGTGGGGAGAGTGTATATACAGTCATCCCTAACCAGCATCTAGATCAGCCTCAGGCAGCATGTATGGTGATGGTGACCACTTTAGGTGTAATAGAATTGAAAAATTCCTGTCACATAGTGATGTAATTATAAATGGCTGTTACAGATTTGTGTATTTGCTATATGTTCATCATTATTTTAATATTTTGGTTGCACTTTATGTGAAAGGCAGAGATTGCGATTTTCCATCTACTGGTTTACTCCCCAAGTGCCCAAAATAACCAGAGCTGAACCATGCCAGAGCCAGGAGGCCAGAACTCAGTCTGGGTCTCCCCTAAGGGTAGGAGGGACCCAAGTAAGAGCCAGCAGTAGCTGCCTCCCAGGGTGTATGTGCAGTCAGAGCCAGGACTCGAACATGGGTGCTCCTCTACAGGAGTGCAAGTTTAGTCCTACACTAAACTTGTACCCCATTTGCTGTAATTGTAGAGCTAAGTACTTCTACTTCACATTGTATTTATTGTTACTGTATTTTATATGAAAGGCAGAGAAGCAGAGAGAGATCTGCTCTTCTCTTACTCCCCAAATGCCCACGACAGCCAAAACTGAGTTGTTCCTAAACAAGGAATCCAGAATTCAGTCATATCTCTCAAGTGTGGGGGGAGAAGGGGTTGCGGAACCAACTGCTTGAGCAAGGTGCACTGTAGCAGGCTGCTGGGGGCTTGCGCGGTGGCTCAAATAGCTAATCCACTTCTAAACGCTGGGATCCCATAACGCTGCTGGTTTGTTCTGCAAAAATGGAAGCCAGTACCAGCAGGAGGTGTGTGAGCACTACCATGAAATAAGATCAGTTCCCCCAGACTTTCTCATCCTCTCAGAGATCAGCTAGATGATGTACTCATTCACTTCAGCTTATTATTTTTCATTGCTTTAAGAAGTGGCTTAAAGTAAGAATTAGGGATTGGGCAGAACACAGAGGCAGTACCAAAAGATGACAGTCTTCATGCTTGAAAAACTGTGCCAAGCTGTATGCCTGTGGCAACTTGCTCACAGAAATGAGTGGAGGCAGATGTTAAGTTGAAAAGCTTTTTAGTAAATTGCATTACTGAGAAACCACGTTTGGCTAGCTCTCTCCAGTGCCGAGACCCTGCCTGGCTCCTGTCACAAGAAGTGAACCACCAGAGTAACCCCGTCCCCAGACAAGGAGGCTCTGGCAGCCGCAGAGCCAGGAGCCTCGGAGCCTGTGCTGGAGAGGGGCTTGGGTGTCCCGGCAGGAATTAAGTGCTGCCAGACTGGCTGGACGTTTGCCCTTCCTGTCCAGCAGGCTTGTAGGTTTTCGGTAGACTGGGGTATCTCCCATCCCAGGTTTTTTGTCTGGATCCTGTTTGGCTTGTGCTGAGCTCCCCTAGCTTCCTAGCATGTTAGCAATAGCTGAGCCGGATGGAAGGATGCCACCTCACGTGGGGGCACTTGATTTGAATGTGCGTGAGACTTCAAGCGACAGAGGGTGACTGAATGTCCCCCATAAATGGGAAGAAGGGCATTTTTACATGCTATTGTAATTGGTGGGTACTTTGTAACTGAAAAGTTGCATTCAAGAGGCAATAATGCAAAGCAAGGAGATAATTTCCCAGAGCAATAACATCTTTCTGGCTTACATAAGCAGTGGTGTACTTGCTCCAGGAAAACCGTTGTTTTCCTGTTGAGAAGCAGTAGGGTAAACCGGGGCACTCTTGTGCCCTTTTCTCATCTTTCTTCTTCCCACACGCCGTGCAGACGTGATGTGACAATATCAGGGGAGACAAGACCGCCATGGAATGTGCCAGAACAGAAGAAAAAGCCTTGCTGCTATGAAGGACTTAAGGACTTGCACAGTCTCAAACTATGTCTTGATACTATGAGAAAAGTCAGTTTCTTACCTCTTCAAACTACTGTTTGTTGGACATTTTGTTATTTAGAGCTGAACATATTCTAAAATAATATAGGTAGATTTAGTCACTCTTCACCTGTGCCTGAAAGTATTATACCACCTCTGTAACACATTACATTATACTATTTATCTTTTCATCTGGTGCAGGCTCCTTGAAGCCGAAGACTATTTTGGACTTACCTTTGTGTCTTTATTTCCTGTAATGTCTAGCATAAAGGAAGCACATAATGTACTTACATAAACTATAAATTTTTGCTGTTGTTAGTAAGTTGGAGCCTACTCTATTATTTATTCCCTGATAAAACCTGCAGGGGCTGGCACTGTGGAGGAGTAGGCTAAACCTCCAGCTGTGGTGCCAGCATCCCATAGAAGTGCCAGTTCACTTTCCAGCTGCTCTACTTCCGATCCAGGTCCCTGTTGTGTCTTGGAAAAGCAGCACAGGATGGTTGTAGTCCTTGGGCCCCTGCACCCATGAGAGAGACATGCAAGAAGCTGCTTTGGGTCAGCTTAGCTCTGGACATTGTAGCCATTTGGGGAGTGAAGCAGCAGATGGAAGCAAAAACTACGCTGAAGATTTTAAGAAATCTAACGCATTTCTCGGGCAGCGCTAGCACCAAGTGGGCAGTCATGGTACTAAGCCGTGCTCATCTTCAGGGTGGAGGGTTGTGTCTGCAACTTACTCTTAGAAAGGTCTGGAAAAAAAATGAAGTATTATTTTTAGTCAGATCTTTGTGTGTGTGTGTGCATGTCTTTATTAAAACTCCCATTTTTTCTTTTGTGTTAAACTTGTTTTAGTCATGTCTTTTTTTTTTTAAGTTTTATTTTAAGTAATTCAGATTTACAGAAAAGGTATGAGAAAAATCAGTTCCTTTACCCAGATTGTACAAATGCTGGCACTTTCCCTCATTTGCTTTATTGTCATCACTCCTTCTTCTTTTTTTTTCCCCAGAACTTTCTAAGAGTAGATTACTGATATAACTCTCCACCCTGAAGATGAGCATGTTTTTGTATCATGGCTGCCCACTTGGTGTTAGATCTTTTGGAGAAATACAGTAGAGTATATTTCCTTGAAACACTTCAGTGTGTTTTTGCTAAATATGCAGGATATTCTCCTCTTTGTCGTTATAATTAGCAAAGCCGAGATTGTAGCACCGATGCAGTACTGTGGTTCAGATGTTCCCACATGTTCTCGTGGTGCCCTTGAGGGCAGCAGCGAGGAGAGCCCGCCGGCCCTGCGTGGGCCTGAAGCCCAGGGGCCTTTAGTCATCGCGGCTCCTCGGTCTCCTCTTCCTCTTCCTTAGCTGTTCTGTGCTTTGTCTCTCACTGCTACAATTTTCTTAAATAACTTTCTTACTTCTTTTTCTTTTTAAGGGTCTATTTATTCCTGTTTGAAAGGCAGATTTTACAGAGGGTGAGAGAGATCTTCCATCTGCTCGTTCACTCCCCAAACTGCCACAACCAGCCAGAGCTGGGCTGGCCCTAAACCAGGTGCCGGGAAATTCTTTTGGCTCTGCTACATGAGTGCTGGGTCCCAAGGCTTTGGACCATCCTCCTCTGCCTTCCCAGGCATATGACCAGGAAACTGGATCAGAAGTGGAACAGCAGAAATCAAACCAGTGCCCATATGGGATGCCGGCACTGTAGGAAGAGACTTAACCTACTATGCCATGGTGCTGGCCTCTGTTTATTCCTTTTGATTTGTCTAAAAGGCAGATATGAGAGAAGAGAGAGACAGAGTCTCTGTGTACTGTTTCACCCCCCAGATGGCAGCCACAGCTGGGGCGGGGCCAGGCTGAAGTCAGGAGCCTGGAACTCTGTTCAAGTCTCTGATGCGGTGACAGGGACCCTGGAAGTTGAGCCAGAATGTACTGTAGCGGGAAGCTGGATCAGAAGCCGACTAGCCAATAGTCAAAATAGATGATGTGATTGGAAAGTGGCTCAGCTTGCTCACCCGCGGTGTGCAGCCCTGGAACTTCGCACATTTTGAAGGGCGTACACAGGGCCTTTCGGGGAAAGCTGTGGGAGCATTTCTGAATCATGGTATCTTAGTGTGTTCAATTTTTATGGAGGAAAGAGAAACATGTATGTTCTCAGATTTTTTTTCAATCTTTTTTTTTAAAGATTTATTTATTTTTATTGAAAAGTCAGATATACAGAGAGGAGGAAAAACAGAGAGGAAGATCTTCCGTTCGATGGTTCAGTCACCAAGCGCCTCAGTGGCTGGAGCTGAGCCGCTTCAAAGCTAGAGGCCAGAAGCCTAGTCTCCAGGTCTCCCACACGGGTGCAGGGTCCCAAGGCTTTTGGGCCGTCCTCGACTGCCTTCCCAGGCCACAAGCAGGGAGCTGGACGGGAAGCAGGACTGCCTGAATGAGAATTGTTGCCCATATGAGATCCCAGCATGTGCAAGGAGAGAACTTTAGCCACTAGGCTACTACACCAGCCCCTTTTTTGCAATCTTAAGCTTTCTTTTAATTTTAAATTCAATAATGTGTCTTGCCTAGGACTCAAACATTTTTTGTTGTTTGATGACTTTGCTCAATGCGACATATTGACATTTTTGCACAGAACATTGGTCACTGTGCCAGCCTATCCCACACATTCATTGCAGATTTGCATCCTTGGCTCCTGCCCACACAATTCCAGCAACATTCTCTGGTTGGTATGACAGCTCAGACACCCCTGGTTAACAACTATTGTTATAAAATCTGGAATCTTTAAATTAGGAGAGCATTCTTTTTTTTTTTTTTCTATAATAAGGGGTATAAATAAATTTCCCAGTTGATGGTCCTAAGTTTCATAATTGGTAATCTGATGGCCCATAATATATTTATATATTTTTTTGAAGATTTTTTTTTATTTTAATTGGAAAGTCAGATATACAAAGAGGAGCAGAGACAGAAAGGAAGATCTCTGTCTGATATCACTCCCCAAGTGGCCATTAACTGCCGGAACTGAGCTGATCTGAAGCCAGGAGCCCAGAGCTTCTTCTGGGTCTCCTGTGCAGGTACAGGGTCCCAAGGCTTTGGAGCCATCCTCGACTGCTTTCCCAGGCCACAAGCAGGGAGCTGGATGGAAAACAGGGCTGTCGGGATTAGAACCAGCATCCTATTGGGTCCCAGCACGTTCAAGGTGAGGACTTTAGCCGCTAGGCCACCATGCGAGGCCCAACTCGTTAAATATGTTGTAACTTGATTCTGTCCTCTTACTAGTTAAATTTGGTAAATAAAGGATGAAATTGGTTGTGTTTTAGTTTAGTTTGGAGGGAAAAAGGAACAAACCACAGAGACAGAGAGTAAACCAAATACCTACCTCTGTTTTCTTTTTAAGATTTATTTATTTAAAAAGCACAATTACAAAGAATGAGTGAGAGAGATTGAGATTAAGGTTGATCTTCTGTCGACTGGTTCACTCTCCGAATACCACAGCTCCTAGTTCTGGTCCAGTCTCAAGTCGGGGACTTTGGAACTCCGGCTGGGTCTCCCAAGCGGGTGGCAGGAGCCTGAGCACTTGGCCCATCTTCCACTCCTCCCGGGCAGAGTAGCAGAGAGCTGTATCAAAAGTGGAGCAGACAGGATGTGAACCAGCTTTCCTATTGGGTAATTGTGTTGCAGGCAAAGGGTTAAGCTGTTGTGCCACAGTGCCAGCTCTGCCCCTGTGATTTTATGTGAAATGAGAATCCCATTACTGTGTCTCTTTCGAGTCAAGGTCCCCACCTTGTATGTCAGCTGGAGGAAAGGTGTCTTTGGAAAGTGTACTGGGCGTTTTACTTTCGTTCAGTTTTAGGGGGAAAAGAGAATAGTTGCACTCATGTAATGATTGGACTTTTCTATTTTCTAACTTTAATTCTAACTTTCTAAATATTATGACTTTAATTGTTCTCTTTTTTTATTTTTCTTTCAGAACTGGTTCCTAGGAAAGACCTTCTTTTAGAAAATATGCCATATTGTGATGTACCCACACAGAAGCAATGAATTTTCTAGAATGAAACAAATCTTTGTACCTTTCAGTTTTAACATTTGTAACTGTGGCAAAAATCCTAGGTTTACATTCTTCTGGCATATTGAAAATTAATCAGAATAGTTTCATAATTAAACTTCATATTAAAAGAGCAGTACTGAGAACTGTAGAAGATAGTTACTTCTAAAGAATATTTTCTTTGGCCCTAATAGTTTTTTAGCTGTTTGAGAATACTTTGTTTTTAGACTGGCACCATGGCGTGATAGGCTGAGTCTCCACCTGCAATGCTGGCATCCACATAGACACATGTTCTAGTCCCGGTTGCTCCACTTCCAGTCCACTCCCTGCTAATCACCTGGAAAAGCAGCAGAGAACTCCCCAGGCCCTTGGGACCCTGCACCCATGTGGGAAACAAAAGAAGCTCCTGGTTTCAGACCAGCCTAACTCTGGACATTGCAGCCATCTGGGGAGTGAACTCAAGGATGGAAGATCTCTCTGTGTCTCTCTCTACATCTTTCTCTGTCTCTCCCTCTCTCTCTTTCTGAAACTATTTCAAGTAAAATAATTTTTTTTTAAAAAAAGATAATGCATTCTTTTGGCAAGTTGGTGAGTTTTCCTCCCATGTGAATTTCTGTGTGTGTTTAAATTATTATATTAAGATGGTGACCCCCCCCCCTTAATTGGTCGCCAGTTGTGATGTGTATCCCTCTCTGCTCAAAGTGGCTCTGTCTCCTGAAGGACTGTAATTATGGCTGCAGGTCCAGCTGATTGTATTGTTTCTTTTTAGAAAGAGACCCTGTTCATGCAAAAACATTTATTACTCTTCTGAAGTCTTGTAAGTGGTACATAACCATTTTCTACAGTTATAATAAAGAAATCTTTTTTTTTTTTAAGGAAAATTGCTCGTCATCAAGCTATGAAGAGGTCTTAGTAGAGTCAGCTGTGTTTAGACCACAGTTAGACTTCATTGAAAACATTTAATATCTGTGACATTCTCCTTTCTCTCATCTATAAAATTTAGATGACTTCTCTTTCCACGTATTCCTTCCCTTGTGAGATTGTTGGTATCACTAAAGGACTTGACCTTCTACTATCTGATATTTGGAACTAGCAGATTGTATTTTGCACTTCTGTTTCTCTTTTCTCTGTTTATCATTCTGTTTTCTCTACGAACAGTGTTCTCTCCCATTCACAGGTGAAGAACAAGAATTTAACTCTGAAAAGTTGCAAAAATCTCCATGTAAGCTTTGTTGGCAAAAACATATTGGTTTATCCATACTGAATATTTGAATTATCGTATGTTGTCATATTTGAAAATAATTTAATTCTAGGAAATAAAATTAAGTTTAGTTGGACATAATAAGCATTAAGCCTGTGACTACCCTTCATGCTTCCTAATATCTTAAAGATCAGATAGATTATACCTACTGTAAGGTTAATTCCCATCTCCTCTACATATTTCTAATCATGTGCATAGAAATTATAACTAAAGAAAAATTGGAGTTGTTTCAAATTTGAAGTTTTTTGGTCATGTGCATGTGCTGAAAGTCATAGCACAGTCACTGTAAACATGCTGACTTACTGTTATTGTCTCAAGAAGTGTCTGCATTGTGTATTTTGAAGAAATTTGTCTGAAATAATTTGTATTTAATATATATACTTTGTTATTTCAATATCATTGAATATTTTAGAAGTTTACAGTTTTTTTCTTGTAACCTAAATTCCTTTGTTTCATTATTTTACTCATTAATTTAAATATATCATCAGATTTCTGTTCTTTTGCAATTTAGTCATTATGATGACCAATAAAAATGAATAATTTGCAAGTTGATTTTATTAAGCTAGTGGCTTACAGATCATATTTATATATTTATGCACTTATGTATTTATGTATTTACAGACCTTCAAAAAGTTCATGAAAAATGTGTTAGAAAAAAATCATGTGTAGCTGTCAAAGTATTTTTGCTCCAAAATAAACTTTTAATTCTCTTTTTCTGTGAACTTTTTGAAGTGCTTTCATATTGTATATGTGTGTGAATGCATTTAGAGAGAGAGAGATAATATTGTGCTTTCCTACCTTGAGACCCCACAGTAAATAAAGCTTATCCATTAGAAAATTTTGAAAGATTTTGCCCCGTGTCTTTACATGGTATGTATTCCAAAGCACTTATTAATTAATACTTTTATTGGATAACAAAGTAATTCCAGAACGCCGTATTTCATATTCTTGTTTCTGTCTTACCTGTGCAGTTTTGCTCTCCTGTCTTCGCAGTGGTCAGGTGCTGCTCCTAGAGTTGGCTTTTTGCGGTAGAGTCTGTATTCTAGAGAATAATCTGCTGCACCCATGTCGAGTTTATTTTGTAAGCCATTTGTTTAAAACTGTGTAGGTTGTGGATTGCCTAGGAACCAGATTTCTGTCTCGTACCCCATCAACATCTAGAACTTTTTTATTCAGTTATCATTAAGAAGCAGTTTCTGTGTTCGAACAGGGAGTTGCCCCATTGTAACACTCCACTTTCACTATTAAAGTATAGTGAGAGTATATGAATTTTAATTGCAGATATCCAGGCTGAGAAACCCAGAACAACTTTGTTTAACAGTCTTTTGGCAGAAATTAGAAATGGTGTGTGTCAGGAGAATCATATTGGCAGAAGTACCTAGGCAAACTCCTTCACAGGACACATCAGACTGAGGGGATCTGGCAGGCAGTTTGCATGCCATCCAATTTGGAACATTAAAATTAAGATTCAAAGGATGGTTCTGTGTGTACTCTGTATGCTTATTATTTACAGTGATTGTGTCACCAAATCGTTTTTAAAGGATAACATCTAAACTACTAGTGGATTATCTAAGCTACTAGTACTCCTTAGTTTAAGCTTAATTATGACAAGTTCCAAACATTAGTAAATAATGTAACAGATTCACATGAGCCAGTTTCTCACATTTGATAAGTGTTTCACTTTTCATCAGGGTTTGTTGGTCCCCAAAAAATCATTTTTTTAAAAGAAAGACTTATTTTATTTTTATCGAAAAGTCAGATATACAGAGAGGAGAGAGAGAGAGGAAGATCTTCCGTCCGATGATTCACTCCCCAAGTGACCACAAAGGTCGGTGCTGTGCCAGTCCGAAGCCAGGAACCAGGAACTTCCTCCAGGTCTCCCACACAGGTGCAGGGTCCCAAGGCTTTGGGCCGTCCTCCACTGCCTTCCAAGGCCTCAAGCAGGGAACAGCGACGCCCTTGTGAGATCCTGGCACAGTCAAGGCGAGGACTTTAGCCGCTAGTGGACCATGCCGCCCCCCTCCCCAAAATCTTCTGAAGCCTGAAATCCTAACTCCATCCTGTTCCTATTTCTGCTCTCCAAGAATAATTCCTGCTTTATAATTTCTTAATATCATTTCCTTCATTTTTATGTTTTTACCAAATAGGTATGTATTTTGAAATATATTTTTAGTTTTAAAATATTAATAATATTGTGTATGTTCTGTTTGAAAGATTTACCAGTATTGTGACATGACTACCTAGATCTTTCACTTTAGTGTTTTATTCCACTATAAGAATAACTAGTTTATCTGTGTCTCTATTTTGTGTCACAAGCCAATTCACAAAATGCTATTTTGTACACCCATGTGAAAGCTCATGTGAATTTAAAGCAAGAAGTGAAACTGTTGAATCATAGGGTATGTATGTATTCAACTTTTCAACAGATTGTTGGGGCCCAGCATGGTAGCCTAGGGGCTAGAGTCCTCGCCTTGCATGCACTGGGATCCCATAGAGGCGCCAGTTCTAATCCTGGTGGCGCTGCTTCCCATCCCACTGCCTCCTTGTGACCTGGGAAGGCAAGTTGAGGATGGCCCACGGACTTGGAACCCTGCACCTGCGTGAGAGACCCAGAGGAAGTTCCTGGCTTCTGGCTTCAGATTGACTCAGCTCCAGCCATTGCGTTCCCTTGGGGAGTGAATCATCGGACAGAAGATCTTCCTCTCTGTCTCTCCTCTGTATATCTGACTTGGCAATAAAAATAAATAAATAAATCTTTTAAAAATTGTTAAATTGCCCTTTAAAGTGTTATTATTGATTTATATACGAATCAACATCAAGTCCCATATCTCTACATTTTCATTATAAAAGACTTCTCTGGTTTTTGCCCTACTTTTAGAGTTTGTGTTTCCTGACTACTGGTGAGGCAGATGATCTTGTCATATGCCTGTGGCCACTGTGGTTTTTCTATCCTTTTTTGTCTTGTTAGGTTGTCTGGCTTTTTCTTGATAATCCTTTGTTGGTTACCTGTGATGGTAGGGATGTTCCAAAATGTGTCTTTTAAGAATTTATGACAAACTCAGCTAGACTAAGTGATGTTGTTTGTATGGCTAGAAAAATCTTTTTTTGTTTGTTTGTTTTTATTGGAAAGCTAGATATACAGAGAGGAGATAGAGAAGAGAAAAATCTGTCTGCTGGCTTACTCCCCAAGTAGCTTCAATGGCCAGAACTGAGCTGATCCAAACCAGGAGTTTTTCCGGGTCTGCCACATGGGTGCAGGGTCCCAAGGCTTTGGACTGTCCTCGACTGTCCAGGCCACAGCAGGGCGCTGGATGGGAAGTGGGGCCGCGGGGGCATGAACCACTGCCCGCATAGGGTCCCGGGGTGTGCCAGGTGATGACTTTAGCCACTAGGCTACTGTGCTGGGCCAAAAAAACATTAGTTCTTGATATTTCTGGAACATACTGCTATTTGATTTGGCAGAATGTGTAAATATGTTGCTCACAAGTGTGGATGAGCATCATCCAATCCAACCCTAACTGAATACTTGCCAGGCCCAGTCTCTGAGATGTGCTGGGGATTCCGATGTGAGACTCTTTAGCAGAGGACAACAATAAGAAGAGCAACTCGAGTACTTAGAGCACGGGAGTGCTTCCCCGGAACTGAACACTGGATTTGAAAGCTAAAGCAAGAGTTTATTAGAATGTGACTTTTAAATTAGCATAAGTGTACTATTTCATATGTCTTGCATCTCGGAGAACTAAGTAGGTAAGAAAGAACTCATACAGCATTAGAATGAGGGAAAACAGGATTTTGTTGGGACTTTGAGGGCATTTCAGCTTTGTCACAAGCTGCTTCATTTAATGTTTCTCCTCTATCTTTTACTTTAGTAAGGG